TGTTGAAAAGACTAGGACGACAGAAATGCAAAGCTCAGGTAGGCGAGCCGGCGACTTTTCTCGTCATACTGCGTTCCGGCGCCGTTCAAATCCGCGACGCAAACAACGACGAGGCAGGATTGTGAGATCTTCGAGGGCTCTTGAATGGTTTTTGAGTTTGGGGCTTAGGGCTTGCGGAATTAGGTTGAAGCGATGGTAAGGGATCTGTTTGAATGCCTCATAGGTTTCACAAGGGGCTCCGCAAGGGTTTTTGTGCATGGATCCGGGCTCGCGTTAAGCTCCTCACCAGGGTCTGAATGTCTGGAAACGGCCTTCGAATTCCCTAAACCCTGAAAATCCCTAGCCCTACAAACCAGGAAACCCTAACAAACCCTAAGCCCACAAGCCACTTCACCCTGAAGTCAAAAATCCTACGAACCCTCAACCCTAAAAGTCCTGAGCCCTAAACCCGATAGATCCCATTTAAGGAACCCTATAGATCCCTTTAAGGAGCCCGTCGTAAGAACCCTCAACAATAGAAGTCCTAAACCCTATGGAGGGTCTGAGACTGCGACTCTGCTCAGAGCCTCTGGAAGCCCTAAAGCCCCAGACCTTCCAAAATCCCTTAATTAAGGAATCTACCCGGATCCCTAATATGATTTAAGGTATATTAAGCTTCATGAACTTGGCTAGGTTGGATTTTGGGACATTTTTTATTTTCCTTATTTGGGTTTATAAGGGTCCCTATATGGAACCCAGTTGGCTTAGGAGGACCGGGTGCCCTTGTATATCTTCGTTCTATGTGCTTATGCAGAAACAAATGATAAGTAAATGAGCCATTTACATCTTAAGAGTGTATACACAAATAGTTAGATGCATGTAAAACACACACATTTATGTATATATATATACATATATGTATATATATATATGTATATATATATGTATATATGTGTGTGTATACATGAATGATTGCATATATATATATATATATATATAAATATAGATATACAGTTAGATAAGTGAACATTTAAATAAGTATATATATATATATATATATATGTGTGTGTATATATGTTTGTAGACACATCTACATAAACAACGGTCTGTGGTTTACATGCCAGATCTTGACCTCTCATACAACGAGTTTTTGAAGCTAATCTTCAGCACGGCAGGTATATTGCACAACACTGGAAGTCAGTAGAGCAATCATCTGGTGGCACGGGCTGAAGTGCATGTGCTGCGAGATTTGCTTCGGCTCTGAAGGCTCTTACAACTGCACGGCAGACAGCTGGACCTTATAGTAGAAGCCAGAAAGTTGGAACATGGCTTTAGAAGGATTCGTGCTAGGATCCCTTTTGATTTACCTTAAGAGCATGAGGAGAATGATGTTCCAACTTTCTGGCTTCTACTATAGGTATTTAAGGCAGGAACTTGAGGCCTGAACCCGGGTATTCTCCTTCGGTTTAGGGTTTAGGGTTTAGGGTTTAGGGTTTAGGGTTTAGGGTGTGTAACAGTATGCGCGCGGTGGGTGCGCCTTTTACTTTAGGAATAGGGGGCGCACCCACTAATCGCGCGCTTGCGTCAGCATGTAGTCCCGCCCCAACCACCCCAACTATTCTCAATTAGGGTTTAGGGTTCACCCCCCAAACCCCCCTCAAGGGGGGCTTTCTTGCTCTCTGCTTCCTTTCGCAGCTTGACATGTAAACAATAATATTTCTCCAGAAATCACAACCGAAATGGTTTCTGTCGGGTTGTGGGTCCTCGCGGCCTGTGCCGGCCGCTCGATGTAAAGCAAGGGTTTCCAACAAACAGCTTGCATCTCGCGCCCTGTAAGGGGTGCTCGAAGTGTGAACAAGGCGGGGCAAGAGGGCGGGCAGGGCAGGCAGGGCGGGAGGGCAGGGCAGGCAGGGCACGCAGCAGGCAGGCAGGAAGGGCAGGGCAGGTGAGGGGAGGGGAGGAGGGCAGGCAGCGGCGGGGGGGGGGGGCACCCCCCCAGGGCAGGGCAGGGCAGGGCGGAGGGTGGGGGCACCCCCCGAAAAAGGGGTAGCGGAGGGGCGAAATGCAGGAAATTTGGAGGTCGCCCCCTAGGACCCACCTGGAGGCCCCCGGGTCCTTGGAGTCGGCCAGCCTGGGGGCCCAGACCCCCCCGGGGGTGCCCCCCAGACCCCCCAGCCAGACCCAAAAAGACACCAATGGTCGTGGGTTTGGGGTCCTCATTATAACGGACTGACGTCCGTATTGTGTGAGGCGTAGCCGAGTCATTTCCGTCCCCGTATACCGGGAGGCTTTACCCTCCCTCACCGTCTTGTCGGGACGCTCGGCCGGGGGCCTCGGTCGGAGCCTCGAGCGCCCATGCAAATGGTCAGCGGCGCTCTCGGCAGTTTAGGGTTTAGGGTTTAGGGTTTAGGGTTTAGGGTGTGTAACAGTATGCGCGCGGTGGGTGCGCCTTTTACTTTAGGAATAGGGGGCGCACCCACTAATCGCGCGCTTGCGTCAGCATGTAGTCCCGCCCCAACCACCCCAACTATTCTCAACTAGGGTTTAGGGTTCACCCCCCAAACCCCCCTCAAGGGGGGCTTTCTTGCTCTCTGCTTCCTTTCGCAGCTTGACATGTAAACAATAATATTTCTCCAGAAATCACAACCGAAATGGTTTCTGTCGGGTTGTGGGTCCTCGCGGCCTGTGCCGGCCGCTCGATGTAAAGCAAGGGTTTCCAACAAACAGCTTGCATCTCGCGCCCTGTAAGGGGTGCTCGAAGTGTGAACAAGGCGGGGCAAGAGGGCGGGCAGGGCAGGCAGGGCGGGAGGGCAGGGCAGGCAGGGCGCAGGAAGAGCAGGGCAGGTGAGGGGAGGGGAGGAGGGCAGGCAGCGAGGGCAGGGCAGGGCAGGGTGGGGCGGGGGGGGTGGGCACCCCCCCAGGGCAGGGCAGGGCAGGGCAGGGCGGGGGGGGTTCGAAAAAGGGGCAGTGCGGCGAAATGCAGGAAATTTGGAGGTCGCCCCCTAGGACCCACCTGGAGGCCCCCGGGTCCTTGGAGTCGGCCAGCCTGGGGGCCCAGACCCCCCCGGGGGTGCCCCCCAGACCCCCCAGCCAGACCCAAAAAGACACCAAATGGTCGTGGGTTTGGGGTCCTCATTATAACGGACTGACGTCCGTATTGTGTGAGGCGTAGCCGAGTCATTTCCGTCCCCGTATACCGGGAGGCTTTACCCTCCCTCACCGTCTTGTCGGGACGCTCGGCCGGGGGCCTCGGTCGGAGCCTCGAGCGCCCATGCAAATGGTCAGCGGCGCTCTCGGCAGTTTAGGGTTTAGGGTTTAGGGTTTAGGGTTTAGGGTTTAGGGTTACTTGTCTATGACGGCTCTGCAGAGGTTGACCGGGTGGAGGAGAAGGGCACTGCGTTCTGCGACATCTCCTGCATGTCCCGTGGCTGAGAGTTTGTGATTTACTTCGGGGCCGGGGCCTTCTCCGGGCTGAGCTCAAGTTGTCAATCGCAACCAGTTGCTCTCTGATCTCTTGATCTTCCAAGGCACCAGTAACTTTTCAAGCGAAGATACAAGAAACTATCAGAAGTTTGGCACTAAACCACGCACTAAGCCGGACAAACATGTTCCGTACCTGGTCACTCCTCCTGCATACGGCGGTCATTTGATGTGGATGTGGGGTGGAGCGGATGGCGGGTCTGCACACATGCTCACATCCGCGGAAGTGATTGTTAAACGATGGTCGTTTGCGAGACGAAGGAACTGAGCTGCTTGACACTTGATAAGTGCGTGTCTTGCCAAATTTACGTTCAGACTCCAGAGTGTTTGCTCAAATTCTTGCAACACCCCAGTCACTACAACCCGAAGCCTTCATGCCCAAAACCGCTAACCTAAGCCATCAACCCCCAAAAGCCTAAACCTTAAAGCCCCAACGTGTCTAGAGACGGAAGGTTCGGCCTTCGTCACAAGATGGCCATCATCTGCGAGGAAGAGACGCAGCTCATCAAGCTTCGTGCCGAGGAGCGCTGGGCATGGTTGAGGTGTCGAAAATCTTAGGGTTTAGGGTTTAGGGTTTCTTACCTATACTATTTTGGGTGGTTCCTTACCAGCTCATCAAGCTTCGTGCCGAGGAGCGCTGGGCATGGTTGAGGTGTCGAAAATCTTAGGGTTTAGGGTTTAGGGTTTCTTACCTATACTATTTTGGGTGGTTCCTTACGAAGAAGTATGGTATAATTCGCCCCAAAACCGGTTTAGGGATTAGTATAATTTGGCCCTAAACCCAGTCCTATATAAGTATTGAGGCCGCTAAATTATGCTCCTTAAATTGGGGCTAGGATGTCGAGTAGTACCCTTATTCCCTTTTTGTAGTCCTAGGTTCTTTATGAAGTTACCCAATACCCGAAAGGGAGCCCTTTCTATTCCTAGGTTACTTTGAGGTGTCGAAATCTGAGTGTTTCGGATGAAGGGGTTGAGGGTTTGATTAGAGGTTTAGGTTTAGGTTTTAGAGTTTAGAGTAGATAGCCTTGGACCTTTTGGGGTTTATATACTCCTACCGTAATTGAAAAGGTTAGCTCTTTTTTTGGGCTAGGCTACCCAGCCCCTAAGAAGTTGAAAGGTTAAGCCCCAGAGCCTGAGCTTTCCGAACCCTAAGGGGTTCAGGGCTCAGAGTTTATAGGGAAGCTTCAGGCCTCTGGGTTTAGGGTTGAATGAAATTTGCGCTTGCTAGGCTCGGCTGGGGTGTGTGGGTCTCCGAGGTCGTCTTCCGGAAGTTGCAAAGGCTGTGATCCTAAACCCTAAACCTTAAACCGTATAGTAGCAAGTATCTTGCAACCCTAAACCCTAAACCTTTCTACTATCACCAGTATGAAGCGCAGGTAGGTAGCAGAGTTTTAGGGATTGGGACCCTGCCGGGTGGTTTTTGAGCTTTCTTTAAGACGGTTGATCAGAAGACGACTCGCTGGATAGTGTCTCCTCATGATGAGCGGAGCAGATTCCTTGCACAGCGCGTGGTGTGGCCTGCGACCATTCATGGCTGTGAGGTTCATAGAGGTCGGACACCGACCGTGCATGGAAATCTCCAGCCTCCAGAGAGGCATGGACCTCGTGTCCAGCAGCATCACAGACCACATAGACGAGTTGCTGGTGCCGACAAGCAGGACATCGGAAAGCGTGGCTGATGGGCAGTCAACCTACATGATTGACATGCCGAAATCTCCTATGTCCCCTTAAGCCCCTCCAGAAGACAGCGAAATTAAGATTCAAGGTTCCGAGTGTTGCCATTGCAGGTTCGAGCCCAAGTTTCGGGTCTGGGTCTACCTCTAGTCTCCATGGTACTTCCTTCTTTGGGCTACCTGACCTTATAGAATGTAGCTATAGCGTTGGCCAAACCAAAAAAAGGGAAGTAAAGGACCGCATAATCCCACGTGTGCAGTGTGAGTGAGTGAAGGAGGAAGCGAGTTTGTGAGTGAGCGAGTGCGGTTTGTTTGGAAGACGGTGGGGGTGGCGTACTTGGATCATGGGACTTTGTAACTTGGCTTATAAGTCATGTAACTGTAGATACAATCCCTCCTTTATAGAACCCTGATAGATCCCTTTCAGGATCCCTTTAGGGAACCCTTTAAGGGACCGTACTTACTAAGTCCCGTGTTGCTTCAAGTAGGGTTTAGCCGGCTGCACCTCTGCAGAAACACGATCGAATGCTTCAGGACCTCCACTTCGCGATGCAGCTGCACCCAAAGGACCAGGAGACCATCAACGGCAACGTGGCAACTCGTCGCTCCCAGATTCTTGTTACTACAGTCTACCGCCAAAAAAACAGGTTCGTTAATATGGGGGCCTGAGGGGGCCTCAATGATTACCTATACTATTTTGAGGGTTCCTTATTATAACTTATGCTATGAATCCCCCTATCGCCCCGATGTTGGGGCACAGGGGTCCCCAACCTCCGATACCGTGACGGTGATACTGGCATCGGCTGTGATGCCGCTGCTGGTGGGGCAGACTTGGTGTCAGTGCTGGTGACTTCTCCAGTCTGCTAA